AATGGTTGTTAATTATTAAATGAAAAAATATATATTTTATCAATACATGACGCTGTACTTCTATTCTTTATCATTCTTCCTGTATCTTGACATTGCACAATATATGTCTTAAAGGGAAAGTAAACATTCTGGGGACTAAAAGTTAAAAAAATCCATATCCCTTCTTTTCTAGACCTGAATTTAAGTCAAGTACTGTGTATATAAAATGTGTGTGTAAAAGTATTAGAATGCTTAGCATAAAAGATTCAATTAGTCTTACAATAAATCATACTAAAATTTATGTAAAATTAATACACACTAAAATGGTCATTTATAATCAAGTTTAAAAAATTCAATTAAAGTCCCATGTAATTTCTCATTAATTACGAATGTACTTTGTTTTGGTCCTTCTTTTTTCTGAACTGGACTTCAGTTTATTCCTCATCTTCACTGGATGAAGAGGTGTGCCCATGTCTTGTATTGCCACCAGACTTTCTCTGAAAAACATTGAAAGCATACATTTATATGAGCATTCCATTTAACCATAAATTTTGAGGAAAAAATAAAGAGAAGTGGGGTTAAGATTTAAATAAATGAGCAAAAATGTTCCCAAATATAATTTCAAAACATTAATAATTGCACATAACAAGTACCTTGGAAATATGCTCCATGTAGTCAGTGATGGTATCAGGCTTATTCTTGTGTGGTGCAAAACTGCTTGCAGCTCTCCCACCCCTTGGGCGCCATCTTCCACTCTTAGGTCTCTTCCCTAGCCTGCCTTTACCAGTGGCTGTCCCACCCTTTGGTGGCCATCTGCGTTGTCCAGGAGCTCCCCTATCCTTTGGTCGTGCTCCTCCAGATGTTTGCCCATTCTCTATCTCACCTACATCAGCAGCTGTCCCACTCTCTGGTCTTTTTCCTCCAGATGTTTGCCCATGCTCTATCTCACCTACATCAGCAGCTGTCCCACTCTCTGGTCTTTTTCCTCCAGATGTTTGCCCATGCTCTATCTCACCTACATCAGCAGCTGTCCCACTCTCTGGTCTTTTTCCTCCAGATGTTTGCCCATGCTCTATCTCACCTACATCAGCAGCTGTCCCACTCTCTGGTCTTTTTCCTCCAGATGTTTGCCCATGCTCTATCTCACCTACATCAGCAGCTGTCCCACTCTCTGGTCTTTTTCCTCCAGATGTTTGCCCATGCTCTATCTCACCTACATCAGCAGCTGTCCCACTCTCTGGTCTTTTTCCTCCAGATGTTTGCCCATGCTCTATCTCACCTACATCAGCAGCTGTCCCACTCTCTGGTCTTTTTCCTCCAGATGTTTGCCCATGCTCTATCTCACCTACATCAGCAGCTGTCCCACTCTCTGGTCTTTTTCCTCCAGATGTTTGCCCATGCTCTATCTCACCTACATCAGCAGCTGTCCCACTCTCTGGTCTTTTTCCTCCAGATGTTTGCCCATGCTCTATCTCACCTACATCAGCAGCTGTCCCACTCTCTGGTCTTTTTCCTCCAGATGTTTGCCCATGCTCTATCTCACCTACATCAGCAGCTGTCCCACTCTCTGGTCTTTTTCCTCCAGATGTTTGCCCATGCTCTATCTCACCTACATCAGCAGCTGTCCCACTCTCTGGTCTTTTTCCTCCAGATGTTTGCCCATGCTCTATCTCACCTACATCAGCAGCTGTCCCACTCTCTGGTCTTTTTCCTCCAGATGTTTGCCCATGCTCTATCTCACCTACATCAGCAGCTGTCCCACTCTCTGGTCTTTTTCCTCCAGATGTTTGCCCATGCTCTATCTCACCTACATCAGCAGCTGTCCCACTCTCTGGTCTTTTTCCTCCAGATGTTTGCCCATGCTCTATCTCACCTACATCAGCAGCTGTCCCACTCTCTGGTCTTTTTCCTCCAGATGTTTGCCCATGCTCTATCTCACCTACATCAGCAGCTGTCCCACTCTCTGGTCTTTTTCCTCCAGATGTTTGCCCATGCTCTATCTCACCTACATCAGCAGCTGTCCCACTCTCTGGTCTTTTTCCTCCAGATGTTTGCCCATGCTCTATCTCACCTACATCAGCAGCTGTCCCACTCTCTGGTCTTTTTCCTCCAGATGTTGGCCCACTCCCTATCCCACCTACATCAGCAGCTGTCCCATCCTTTGGTTGTGCTCCTTCAGATGTTGGTCCATTGTCAATCCTGCCTACACTAGCACCTGGCATACTCTTATGCTGTCTTGCTGTATTGAACTGGTGACTGTGTCTCTGATGACTTTTGGAGTGTGCATCTGGATTTTAAAAATAAGCTTCTTTAACCACAAAATTTTCTGAGAAAACAAAACTCTGCATAACCTGACTTTTGAAGCCCCTTTATCCACCACTCTTTATTTTATAATAAAATTTAATCAATAAAGGAGAAGGCAGCAAAAATAAGAAATTGTGGGCAAAAACTGATTGGGGTTAGTCTTGATGCTGTAAACAGACCTCTTGTAGGCAAATATGAACCCATGATAAAAACCTGCCAGTCCACCAAATATTGGCAATACCCCCCCAACCCCCCTGAGAGTAGGCTGTCAAAGGTTGGGACACTATCCTGCTATCTCAGCAAAGAGTTCTCCCAAAATAGACAATAGAGCTCTTTACCTAAAACTTAAAGGACAACTCAGTGGGTTAGATTAATGTATAGAAGCAGGTTCTATGTAAAACTTTGATCAGATTTGTGTTTTGGGAGATTGTTTATTATTATATGAATAAGTCTGGGTCACAAAAGTCGTGTTAAGACAACTAGAATAAAGAATTAGAAAACGAAAACTATTTATCATGATTTCGGAGCACAGCCAGAAGTACTTCCGGCTCAAGGTCACGACCTCGATTTTCCCACGCTTACGACCAATCACAGCAGGCTTCAGTCAGAATGAGATAGACGTCACGACTACACAGCGAAACTTGTCAGACATGTAAGTGCCGCCTGTCCATCTTTTCGGTACATGTACCGATCAAAAACAGAAAACGTAAAGCCCAAAACGCTCCTATACACGTAACCAACCTTGTATGAGCACAAATATTGTCATTTATTGTGAACAGGATAATATGATAATCAGACACACTTGAGACCTGTGAAGCGCATACTCACGTGTCGAGGAGTAGTTTCGCCATTGCCTCGTATGTGACTCCTAACTCAGCTTTAAGTGTCCTCCATCGCCCCACCTCCCTCCCAACATACACAGTCTGAGTGCTTCTTCGTCTGTCTCTAATTTTCTTTCGTATCTTTCGAACTGGAGTGGCTATTTTCTTTCGCCCCCTTTTGTCGCTCTCCTGTTCAGACTTGACGCGCGTCTGAGCCATGTTTGCTGTTTTGGCGCCAAATAGTAACATCCGGGTCTCAGCCGTAGTACTTCATTCATAGTAAACCGCGAGACTTAGCGAGAAATTGCGCGTTCTGAAGCCGTACTGTGAGGTGGTAGCTGAGTATTTAAGACGAGTCGTCTTTTATTATTTAATGGAACTTAAAAACGGTATTAGGTAGCTTCATTTTCTGAACGGTTTTGGATAGGATATACCTTGGTCATTATGGGGAAATTGGTGAGTTTTCCAGGAAAATTCATTTTCGTGCTATTTTAAGGGTTTAACGCGCTGAGACTGTCTTTAAAAATTTATGCCAGCCTAAGTGTTTTTTAATGGTTGGGTTAAAAATGTCGTAACTGGTCTTTTTTTCTTGCTTAAATTCATTTTGCCAGTTGTATAATATTATCTTTTATGGTTCCAAAATAATGTATCTAATTTATGTATCTCCATTTAAAAGATTGGGACACTACTCTAATTTTTGGTCTTACACAGTCTTGATTTAGAAAAAAATTTTTTTTAAAAACTTGAAGCCAGCCAATTACACAAAAACACAACACATACCATGACTATCAAAAGTTGACATGGTTCCTAAACCAGAAGTCTGTCGACTTGGTTTTCCACTACCCTTATTGTCACCATTTGCCTGTAAACCAAAGTGTCACTTAAAATATATTGTGCAAATGATAAATAAATAAATGGATGTTTAAAAACAAAAATACCAAATAATGAATAAACAAATAAATCAATTGATAAAATATAAATAAATAAAATGAAACAGTATAAAATCCTAGAGCAATGCCACCAAACACTACAAATACACCATACCTGCTGAGGGTTCAGGCTAATAGCCTCGCTGTCCAATCGACTTATTAGTGCAGTGTCATTTGTCACATAACTCACGTTACGGTCAAATCTGATGTTCTTCTGATTTGTCAGACTGTCAAGGCCACTAATATGGCTTTCTGCTGAAAAGGGAAACATCTGTGAGCACATCTTGCAGATTTTCAAACAATGGCAATAAGCACACCATAGTGACTGTAGTATGAATACCAATATATGACTTCATATTGAATTCAATAACAACTAAAGGTGCATCTCTGCCAGTGGAATCTCTGCCAGTTTTTGAGATAAAAAGGTTGGAAATTTTCAGTTTATGGTGTAAAAGTAGGTCAAAGGTCAAGTTCAAGGCCACAGGAAGATTGCAAATATATGACTTCCTATCAAAATTTAATAATAACTATGGGCAAATCTCTGCCAGATAAAGGGGTCACAAAATCTGCAAAGTGCAGTTTATGGTGAAAAGTAGGACAAGGGTCAAGTACAAGGGCATATTTGAAATGTCCATATGACTTTTCATCAGACTTGTAAAATAAACTCTCCCATAGTTCATTTAGTTTGGGAGATATCTAGCGTTAAAATTTTAACATTTGGAAAGGGTGTATTGTGATGGACGCCACACCTAGACCTATGCACTAGAAGATCCCCTAATCTTCGCAAATCAAGTTGAGACAATATGTGACCTGTGTACATGAGATGCTGTGTAATTGTAGTCTAGGTGAAGAATTGGAAGTGTGGCGGCAGAGCCGACAGAGCCTGCAGAGCCAGCAGACGAAATGGGTTGGGGCAAAAACTTACCCATAGAACTTTGATCCTCGTTAAAATTGATGTCCGACAGATCACGTCTCACTGCAGGAGCTGGGATTGTACATGTATATGCGCCATCATGAATCCCACTAACAACTAGCTTGCAGTTAAATCCTTTATCTTCACACTGGTTTATTACACTGGGTCTGGTGAAACTGGCTTCATGTGAGGCTGAAAGACAATTGATGGTTCTTAAATGAGAGAAAAGAAATCTACTGAAGATCATCAAGCAATGAAAACACCTTCTGAGCATGCACCACCAGCCACAAAAAGGGTGAAAAGCAGGACAATTTTGCATTTGCAGTTTTTACATTGACCAAATCTAGAATATAATCAAACTACAAACAGTACAGTTGAAAAAATAAATATAAATATTATTTCTTAGATACATTTTTAGACTTTTTTTTATCTTGTATTACTTTTTTTTACTGAGATACTTCTTGTTTCAAGATAGGCTCATGAGGGGGAAAGCAAATTTTTTCTGGTACTACCTGTGGCTAGAGATTCTTGACGTTCAGAACACGAGACAGGTGAAGTCAAATATCTGCCATCTGCAAATTATAAATGAGTGAAAAATTAAGTATGGCCATAAGTAAAAGATGTCAAATACCACAATTTTTTCATTTTGAAAATTATAACTATAAGCTACTTTCAAAATTGTGCTATATGACAGGATCCCTTTCAACTTTTTGGACTTTTTTGATATTTCTTCCTCAAATTGATGATGTTTCTGGATTAGCTAGTGAGGGAAAAGCAAGATGAACTTTTTTCTGGTATTACCTATAGCTGGGGATTCTTGATTGTCAGAAACTAAGACAGGTGGAGGCAGAGATCTGTCATCAGCAACAGCAGTGGGGTTTGCATCTAATAAAATAAATGAATAACAAACAGTTTGGTTTCAAGTTACAAATTTCAAATGTCCTACTTTCTTTCACTGTGACAAAAATCCAAAATTATCACATTAAGCTACTTTCAAAACTGAGCTATTCAGTGTGCCCTTTCAAGTTTTCAGGACTTTTAAATCAAATATCTAGGCATTATTTGAATTGTTTTAGGATAAACATGAATTCATTTTTTCTAATTAATAGTTTGAGTGACTATTATAAATAGATACAGTTCCTTCAACAATTATTTACAAACAAAATTTTGTTCAATTTCTCTACCATTTTACTAGCTAAAATACAGATTTACTTAAAACCCCGTCTCCCCCATTAAAGAAAAATTAAAAATAAAAGAAAGGAAAAGAAAATTAAAAAAAAAAAAAAAACAAACTAAAAACTAACAATAAATTTAACTCTTATTTTTTGTTCCTTTATGTTGGTGAGAAAAGAAGGTTGAACAATGACAACAATAACAGTTCCTCACCTCTTCAGGCAGTTATATCACAATTTCTATGTGCCCAACATTGCCTTTTACTCATCTTGGACAAGGCTTTTTTTTTCTGTAAATCCTAGAAATCGATATTTTCCCCCCACCCAGCTCACCTGTACACTGTACTCCATGTTCACTGAAAAATTTCTCAGCCTGACCACATAACATCCAAATGTGTTCAGCAGAATTCTCCCCAGTAGAAGCAAGACGTAGAATGTCCACAAGTCGTGGTGGCTACAGTGAAATTAAAAGACAAATAAACCCCATGCAATTGATTTTGCAAAAATGTGGTACCTACAAAAATTTTCTTTTTATAACTTTGTGTATAAAAATATACTGAAAAACCCTTGCCACCTGCCAAACATTTAAACATGGTTTTCAGCTGCATCCAAACCAAAGGTCAAGATTTTAAAAAAGATGGATGATTGTTACAGTTGATAGTGACATTGATAGTGACAGAATTATGGCGAGTGCCATGAAGATAACAGTTGACATGTCAGCGAAAAATTAAACTTTTCCCTAAGAAAAGTCATAAAGTGCTAGTTTTTCTTTTTATTGTTTTTGAATTAATATCTTAAAATTAAATGTTCCATCTTGTCACAATACACAACCCTTATGCCCACCAGGTTTTTTTCACATTTCTCCCAGCCTGTGGGGGTGAAGGGCCAAGTGTTGAGCTCTTCCCTGGTGAAGTGACCTGGCAGCAGAAGCTGAAGCATGACCTTGGCACCATCTTCAATATCTTGACTTGCTTGGCTTGCTGAGAAGTTGGCGAGTTTTTTCATATTTTTGAGCCTCACACTAATTTTCCTGCTTTTGTTGATCACAATATCATCCACTGGAAACATTTGATAATGTAAAATAATATTCTAGAGTCAGAGAGGTATCGATGTAATTATTATTATCATTATTATATCAAACATGTTTTATTATAAAATCTGCATTTAACTAGAGGATCAGAGAGGCGATACCGCCTCCGAATATTGTACCACCAGCTGGAGCAAGCGCATTCGTATAGACCCCCACATACACAAAATAAGGGACACAGCCACCAGTCTTTTGATTGACAAGCTGTAAAAATGCAATCAACAAGAATTTTCAAAATATGCAAAAAAACATATCAAAAGTTCATCAAAAGGTAGGTGAAAGGTTAATTTCACAGTAAGATTGCCAGTATATGACTTCCTATTCAACTTCAAAAGTAACTTTGGACCTATCTCTGCCAGTTTGGGAGATAAAAGGGAAGCAAAATTTGCAAAGTTCAGTTCATGGTGAAAAGTAGGTCAAAGGTCAATTTCAAGGTCACATTTAGATTGCCAGTGTATGACTTCCTATTCTAGTTCAATAGTAACTATGGACCTATCTCTGCCAG